TGCTAACAGGATTGGATCAGGGGGAACCAAAGGAAAAGAGACCATCTGCAGGCAGCCTACCTCCCCAGTTAGCAATTTTAAGGAATTAACAGATTGCCCCTTTAAAATGAGCTAATCCAGTTATCTGAAAGTTCATTGCTTTGGTTATAGTTTCCTTCTGTGTGTTTAAGGCCAAGCTGGGGTCCACAGACCAACCTTAAAATTATTTTTTAGGTTAGCTGAGATTGTTTCAGGGGTTACTGCTAGGATCTTAAGAGGAGACCCTGGTCCTTTCAGTTTTTCTTTTACCACCATGCCATCAGCAAGGATTGGTCAGGGTCTGTTGACCATGTGGCTTCCTCTAAAAGCAAAGGAAACATGTCCACTCCATTGAATCTCCTTCCTGCAGGATGCATACTAGTGCAAATCCTGTCTCCAGAGACTCCATGGCCTCTCTGATAGAGGACCAGTGACTTATCAGAAGGGTCTGGTCGTGGCCTGAGTCCTGGCTGACCTCACTGGGGTGCCTCCCAGCATTTATTTGTGTTGAACAGCCAGAGGGACAGTGTTATCAATCTTGTAATTTTACCTTTCCTGTAACATTTTGATCAGACTCAGACAAAACTCTGGTTTTAAATAAGTCTTGATTTTGTTAAGACCCAGTTTCCTGAGTAGTGATTTTGATGAAATAATATTTAAGCCAGTTCTTGTACATGTTACTATATGCAGATCTGTAACCTAGGAGAATTCTCTTGATTTAAAAAGAATTTTTATAATCACTGTATTGAACTTGGACCTCAGGGACAATTTTAAAGATTTTAATGATGTGTAGGTGTGTATATCTGCATGTGAGCACCGTTTCCCTCAGAGGACAGAGGTGCTGGATGCTATGGACCTGGAGTTACTCACAGTTGAGGACTGCTGGGCACCAAACTCAGGTTCACTGAAGAACAGGAAGTGCTCGTAACTGCTGAGCCATCTCTCCAGTCCTGACCTTAGAAATTTTAGTAACCTTTAACTATTAAACACACATTATCCTTAAGTCTCATCATCCACAAACCTTCACAAATTACTCAGGCTTCCTACAACCTGGCTTTAAGTTTTAGAAAAAGAATTGGTCTACATCTTTTTCTTCTTTTTTAGAACAAAATCTTATTTTTTTAAAATAAAGAATCCATCCTAATTTCAGATACTCTCTTTTCTTACTCATCCTACCAAAATATAACCTCATGCTTATATCTTCCCCAACCCCTCCCCCAACAAGGGTTGAAGCAAGATGACATATGACACAATGCAGCCAGTGCTTATTGGCACACTGCTGTGGGATGGTCTGTATGTCAAATGTGTTGCTGATTGGTCAATAAATAAATCACTGATTGATCAGTGGCCAGGCAGGAAGTAAGGCGGGACTAACAGAGAGGAGAACTGAGAGAAGTGGAAGGCTGAGTGAGAGAGACACTGCCAGCCGCCATCAGGACAAGGAAGATGTAAAGTACCGGTAAGCCACAAGCCATGTGGCAAGGTATAGATTTATAGAAATGGATTAATTTAACCTGTAAGAACAGTTAGCAAGAAGCCTGCCATGGCCATACAGTTTGTAAGCAATATAAGTCTCTGTGTTTACTTGGTCAGGTCTCAACGGCTGTGGGACTGTGGGTGACAAAGATTTGTCCTGACTGTGGGCCAGGCAGGAAAACTCAAGCTACAAATGGCGCCCAACATGTTGGCAAGAGTTTCCACCTAAAAACTGAGTAAAAAGATTCTAAAATGGAGCTAAAAACAGTTCCTAGTTGTCTCTTTCAAGTTAGCGGCAGCCTGCCGGTTTGAGCTACTGGCGGGTTCCTAGCGTGCTCACTCGACTTGCAGTATGGCGGGAATGAGGCCTCTGCAAGTGGCACATTAAGCTGCATGGTGGATTTAGCCTTTACTAGTACAAAACAAAAAAAAAAAAGAGGTTTCTGCACTACACGCTGCTTGGATAAAAGCATAGACCCACGATAGCTCCCAGAGCTGGTGGTAAACATAGCCATGTTGGGAAGCTGAGGTGGGCAGAGCCAGCAGCCACAGCTGCTGTAGTTTAAGGCAATAGATTCACAATAAGACAGATTCAGGTGTAATAGTTTACAATGTGTGTAAAAATGTACATAGGCTTGAAAGAGAAAAAAAAGAAATATATACAGTTATATAAAAAAATAGTTTTTAAAAATAAAGTCTTTAAAGAGACAGTAAAGGTAATATAAAAAATAAGTCACGTAAAGATGAATATTACACAGAGAATCTGGATTGTGTTGTCTTTGGGATTTTTTTTTGTTTTTTGTTTTTTTTTTGTTTTTCGAGACAGGTCTTTGGGATTTTTAACTACAGAAAAACATTTGATTGTAAAAGCTGTTGAGTTATGCCAAAATGTATATTTTAAAGATACCTTAACTTCAAAATTTGTATATAAGGATATGTTGCTTTGGAAAGGAGATTCTGCTTTTGTTCCCACAGAAAGCCAGAGGCTATGGATTTGTTCCAGATTAAGATACATCAGGTTTGACCAGCCAAGACCCCCTGAAAGGTGACACCAAGGCCCAGATGATCCAACATCCAGAATGGTTTCAAGGCAACTGGCTCAGACGATACAGCCTCACGGACTACTCCATGATCCTAAAATTTTCTTTGTTTCCCCAGAAGATACAGTGCCCCCCTTCCAGCAGGAAGTAGTAAGAGAAGCTACGCCCAAATTCCCAAATGTACCAAGCTGACTTTGGAGATGTGTAAAGGTTAAAACCTTCCTTTTTAAGAAAAGAAAAGGGGAAGTGCTGTGGGATGGTCCGTATGTCAAATGTGTTGCTGATTGGTCAATGAATAAATCACTGATTGGTCAGTGGCCAGGCAGGAAGTAAGGCGGGACTAACAGAGAGGAGAATTGGGAGACCAGGAAGCTGGATGGGGGAGACACTGCCAGCCGCCATCAGGACAAGGAAGATGTAAAGTACCGGTAAGCCACAAGCCACGTGGCAAAGTAAAGATTAATAGAAATGGGCTGAATATAAGAGTGAGAGCTAGACAATGATAGGCCTGAGCTAATGGCCAAGCAGTTTAAATAATGTAAGAGTCTGTATGTTTGTTTTATAAGTGGGCTCCGGAACTGGCGGGACTTGGCGGTGGGAGCTGGAGAAAAATTCTCTAGCTACAGCACACACATTGTTAAACACTAGAGCTCTGTTCCCCTGGAGTTTGGGCAAACTTCCTTATCCCTTGGGGTTTCCCATCTTCCCCCCTGTGGTCTGAGCTGGAGAAAGTTTAACATTCCATCAATCGTCTACAGAGATATCAATGATCGCTACCACCCAACATTCTCTGCATACAAGAAAAAGCACAATCAAAAGTACACCGTGCCATGCTGGTCCTTGTTGTGGTTCGTAGGTGTCATAGCCGTTTAGGACTGTTGGTTGCCTCCTTCCTTTGGAAGCTTTCTTGGTAACTTCTGGTACCATGAAATCCAGTCCTCAGGGAGGAGGCTTTTGGGTCCGTTCCTGCTTAGATGCCTCTGGGCACTGTCTCTGAAGTACATGATGTCTTCAGCAATAGGGCCTAACCTTCCACCTCCAGGGGGCAACCAAGAGCTATTTTTTTCCCCCAAGACAGGGTTTCTCAGTGTAGTTTTGGTGCCGGTCCTGGATCTGGCTCTGTAGACCAGGCTAGCCTCGAACTCACAGAGATCCGCCTGCCTCTGCCTCCCGAGTGCTGGGATTAAAGGCATGTGCCACCACAGCCCGGCACCTTTAACATTTTGAGAGACCTTTGGAGAACCCTGACCAACAACTCGAAGGAGGGTTGCTCATGATTGGTGTTAGAGTTTTTGTTAGATAGTCTCTGACTCTTGGAATTTTTCATTCAAACTATATATTCATGTTTATACACTAATTTATGTGTATTATCGGTATTTTTAGGTAAATAGTTAATAGTATGACTTTTCCAGACATCTTTACTCTTATTTCATCCTCCTTCTTCTGTATTTATCTCCCTCCACCTTCCTAAGGAAGAGCCCTCCATTTTTCCCATTTCTCATTTCTTTGACTTTTGAGTTCTTTGTATATTCTGAGTATTAATCCTCTACCGGATGTTTAGGTTACAAGGATTCTCTCCCACTTTGTAGGCTTTCTCTTCACTCCATTGAATGTTTCCCTTGATGTATAGAAGCCTTCGAGATTTATGAAGTCCCACATCCATTTCTTGACTATTGTAAAGTGCATACTTTTTAGCACACCAATATCGTTTCCTGTGGATAAATACCCAGTATTGGCATTGCCGGACCACACGATGGTTCTATTTTTGGTTTATTGTCAGAACACCAGATTGTTTTCCATAATGGTTGTGATCATTTACACTCTTACCAGCAGTATGCAAGGGCTCTCTTCTGTCCGAGTTCTCACCTGCCCCTGATACCTTTGTTCTGTTTGATTACAGCGGTTCTTACTGGGAAAGGTGTGTCTCGTGGTGGTTTTGCTTTACATCTTCCCAGTGCTCAGTGATCCTGAATATTTTTTCAGGCATCTAGAGGTCGTATGTGTATGTGGCTCGGAGTTGCCCAGTTTAGCAGAGTCCTGCATGCCATCCGGGAGCACAGGCAGCACACTAGTGTCTCAGGCTTGAGGCATCCTGTTTTGTTCTGACTCAGCCGCCAGGATCCACTCAGAGCCAAAGCGGGAGGGGCTGATGGTGAAGTGTGAGCAGTGTCCGGAAGAGAAAGGAGTGTTGCCGTTTGACCACCAAGAGTGTCTCCCCCTGCACATCTGTGTCTTCGTGGACACAGCACAGCAGGGTGAGAGCAGGGTGATGCTGACGCAGATACTAGCCTGGGCTTGCCTTTTGCTTCATGTTTGCTGAGTCAGTCTGAGATGAGGATAGATTTTTTTTTTGCCTTGCCCCTGGCTCCCTGGCTCCTTCCTCTAGCACTCCCTGCACTGGAATGTCTGAAAGTTGAGACTCTGTAGGCCAATAGCCCAATAGGAAAGCAGAACCAAGTCCCGCCTCCTCCCGCTTAACCTAGGACATTATCAGAAAGCTCAAACTAGCAAGGTCCCGGTTAGCCTGCTCTGGACACCTCACCAGCACCATGCCCATGACACTGGGTTACTGGGACATCCGTGGGGTGAGTGAAAGAGCTACTGCTGGGTGGGACAGAGACATGGGGTGGCAAGTAGCTAGAGCTGATTTCTAGGAGAGGGATGGAGTTCAGAACTTGTTAGAAAGCTTTGCCTATGAGGGGGAGTTCAAACTCAGGAAAGCTTGTGCTTATGCGGGCCAGCATGTGAGCTTGTGGGGAGACTGCAAGTGTAAGATGGGAGCTCACCAAGAGGTGGCGAAGGAAGACTGTCAGTTTCCCCATCTGTGACCTGTCCTATGTCATCCTTGCAGCTGGCTCACCCCATCCGCATGCTCCTGGAGTACACAGACACAAGCTATGAGGAGAAGAGATACACCCTGGGGGACGGTGGGTGACTACACCCTGTTGGTCAGACCTGGGCCCCCCTGTTCATTGGTGCCCGGGGACACTTGTCTGACCCCCTGTTGCTCAGCTCTACAGGGCTTCTCCAGTTGGATTTAGGACCTGTCCCTTCTAGGAACCTCCTTGAATTTGGTCTTCCAGTGGAGGGCTGGGTTGCCTTCTACAGTAGTTGGATGTTTTCCTCTAGGGCTTGTTTAAATGTTTTGTACATCTCGGTGATGTAGGGTCCACAGTCCTTACAAGCATTCTATACTCCTGAGAAGTGTGAAAGTGGGTCAGGTTGCAGATCTCCTTCTTAGGGGGTTCTCATACCTGACTCCTTGGGACACTGGGCTGACTTCTTTTCACTTCATCTTGTCTACAGCTCCTGACTTTGACAGAAGCCAATGGCTGAATGAGAAATTCAAGCTGGGCCTGGACTTTCCCAATGTAGGTGCAGGGAAGGGGAGGTTTGGGGAAGGCATGGTGTCCTCACCTCATCTCCTTGTCTGGCTGAGGAGGTTTGAGATCAGAGCTTAGGCTCTCTTCTTGCTATTCCTGGTGTTTGCACAGGTTTCTGTGACGGGCTCTGTCCCATTCTTTCATTCCATGTACAGCATGTTCATTGGTGGTTTCCCATGCCAGACACCGAGAGTGCCAGACCCCATATATGTCCTTTCTGACATATATGTCCCCCATATCCCATCTGACCATCCCTGCTTGTCTTTCCAGCTGCCCTACTTAATTGATGGGTCACACAAGATCACCCAGAGCAACGCCATCCTGCGCTACCTTGCCCGAAAGCACAACCTGTGTGAGTGGAGCCGGCTGCAGGGAGGGGGACAGTGGCCATCCTCTTGGCTTGGCTGGGGTGGGATGCTGAGGGTGACTATGCTGTGTGTGCTGCAGGTGGGGAGACGGAAGAGGAGAAGATTTGGGTGGACATTTTGGAGAACCAGGCTATGGACACCCGCATGCAGTTGGCCATGGTCTGCTACAGCCCTGAGTTTGTGAGTTCTGCCACCACTGAGTTGGAACTCGCACTGTACTCTGCCCTAGAATCTATTCTGGTCCAGTTTGCCACCAGAGCCTCTCAGTGCTACTCACTGTACAGTATTTGAAACTTCTGACAGAGTAACGCCAGGACTCAGTGTGCCCAGTGAAAATTCCCAGTCATCACTCCTAAGTCTTAAGATGCAGTCCAGACTCTCCACAGTGGAACTCCCCCCACTGATAGTATAGACAGAGTTCAGAATGCTCCAGTTCCTACTGCTGGTTCTGTCGTGATCCTTGTCCTGCAGTTGGCTTAAAGCGCTGCTACTTCTGCAACACACACCCTCACACTACGAGAAGAAGAAACTGGAACTGGGAGGGACACTCTCTTCCCAAATGGCTTCCTGGAGCTGTGTCCTTGACACCCACAGAGATAAGCGGATGTTCCCAATAAGCAATTCGGTCAGCCAAAGGCCTTTGGTCCTCCTCCTGTTCCTTTTGTCCCCTCAAATCCATCTCATCTCTTTGGAAACTGTACCAAAGTGTCAGTTGTTTGCATGTCTGCTTCTGCCTCACATGAGTTCAGAGCTCAGAGCCAGGTGGCCACAGCTGTCTTGGGTCTTTGGGTCTGATGCACAGTGGCTCAGGAAATGGTGGTAGAGGCTGAGGGTAGGGGTGGGGGTGGGAGTATGGGGGCTGGGGGGACAGAGTTGTACAGTTGTATCCTGTTGGGCTGCTGCATAACAGCAATCTAATCATGAGGATGCTGTAAGTAAAGGCCTGGATACCAACCCAGACTAAATCTCATGAAGCTCACCCTCCTCTGCCTGCTGAGGACTGCACAGCCCTGCGGAGCCAGCCTCTGCCAGGGATCCTGTGTCTGAGGGTGGTGACAGTTGTTTTTTGCTTCAGGAAAAACGGAAGCCAGAGTACTTAGAGGGTATCCCGGAGAAGATGAAGCTCTACTCTGAGTTCCTGGGCAAACGACCTTGGTTTGCAGGGAACAAGGTAAAGAGAGGGGGTGGGGAGGAGGAGCTGCCGTTCTTCCCAGGCCTCAAATTCCAGCACACTGACCCTTGGCTTCCTGCAGATCACCTATGTGGATTTCCTTGTCTATGATATCCTTGACCAGCACCGTGTATTTCAGCCCCACTGCCTGGATGCCTTCCCAAACCTGAAGGACTTCTTGGCCCGCTTTGAGGTGATGCCCTGATTCTCCTTCTCATTCGATGTTCTTTTTCCCTTCTCCCTTTCTGGGATGACTTTTGTCTTAGCATTTCTATTGCTGTGAAGAGACACCATGACCATGGCAAGTCTTATAAGGAAAACATTCAGCCGAGGTGGCGGCTTATAGTTTTAGAGGTTTAGTCCAGTATCATCATGGTAGGGACCATGCAGCTGTGAGTATGGGTGCATTCAGGCTGACATAGTACTGGAGAAGTAGTTGAGAATTCTACATGTTGATCTGAAGGCAACAGGAAGTGGTCTGACACACTGGGCAGTATCTTGAGCAAAGGAGACCTCAAAGCCTGACCCACTGACCCACAGTTACACACAACAGCAGCGCACCTGCTCCACCAGGCCACACCTCCTAATAGCGCCACTCCCGTTGGGGGCCATTTTCTCTTAAACCACCACATTCTACTCCCTGGCTCCAAAGGCTAGTCACTATATCATAATGCAAAAAATGCATTCAGTCCAACTTCAAAAGTCTCCAAAGTCTATCACAGTCTCAAACTTATTTAAAAGTCTGAAGTTCAAAGTCTCTTCTGAGATTCATATATTCTCCTAACTGTAATCCCCTAGGAAGTCAAAATCAGAAAGCCAATCAAATACTTCCAATGTATAATGGCACAGGATATACATTACCATTCCAAAACACAGTGAAGGGAGCACAGTGGGAAAATGCCGGACCAAAGCAAGACTAAAAACCAGCTGGGCAAACTCCAAACTCTGCGTCTCCATGTCTGATGTCAAGGCACTCTGCAGATCTCCAACAAGGCCACACCTCCTAATAGTGCCACTCACTCCCTTTGGGGGACACTTTCTTTCAAACCACCATAACTTTCTACTCCTTGGAAAGGAAATGAAGAACAATTAACATTTGTTGAGCACTGACTGACCTGTGTTCAGTTCTTAGATCTTCTGCATGAAATTTCTCATCACAGCCTACATGCTCTGTAGCAGTATCTGTTCCATTGGACTGCTAAGGAGGCTGACTATAGAGATTGTCAGTTTCTCAGGGATCCAGTACCATTGGAGGAGCTTGTGTTTGTTTCCCTGTGTGCTTGTAGCTTCAAGAAGAGAGGACAGTAGAGCTCCCTGATGCCAAAGGAAAAAAGCCATAGGTTGCCAGGGAGCCTGGATTTTCCAGCCCTGAGGTCTATGGAAATTCAGGACATGTCAGAGTGTATGGCAAGTGCTGTTGAGAGGGGGAGATATGGCAGGACTGATGTGCAGTGCCAAGGTGCAGTATGCATATCCATCCTGTCCAATTCTCTGCTCAGTCAGATTCCTGACTGGGGAGGCACTGGGACCCAGGGCTACAGCTGGTGCCAGGCTGAGTGGACAGGTCGCTGCTGTTGGAGGATGTTCTCCTGAGTTGTTCAGTGTCTAGGTATCCTGTTTCTTCCCTTTCATCTTCCTTCTCAGCAACAGCTTGGTGTTTGACTGTGAAATCTTGAAATGCATCAGTCATTTTTTTGGTCATTTTCATTCACTTTCTCTGGTGTCTCTATATGTGTGTGGCACAGTTTCAGCTCAGTAGGACTTGGAAAGGTGCATCTCCATGCAGGGATGCAGTGTGGCAGGCATGCCTGACTATGAGGTACATGTGACAGCCACAGAACCTACTTCACTAGAGATTTGGGGGTCGAGGCTGTAGTCCAATGGGATTCTTAGCACAGAATCTTCTTTTCTGTCCTCAAAACTGCCTAAAGAGTGATGTGTTTTGTTAGTTTCCATCAGCTTGGATTCTGGTCCAGGCTGCTCAGCTCTGGAGATTGTGTAAGAACTGGCTGTACAGCACAGTGGGAGTGTGGGAGGCTGCAGTTCAAGGCCAGCTAAGCCTGCCCACTTGGGTCCAGGCAGCGCTGGAACTTTGAATTCTTCACAGCTTATCTAGGCATTCTACTGGAAAGACGGCACACAGCACAGAGTCTTTCTGTAGGGTCTTCACTAGTAGGGCTGGAAACAATAAGGATGGACACACTGAGTGTGCGTTCAGCCGCCAGGTTTAACCTTTAGGTTTTTCTGCTTCAAGAGAATGCAAAGGCCACTCCATTGTCTCCTTGCTGGTTCACTTATCCCCATCCTCATGAAGTCAGGATTTGCTGAGGTACTGGGACACACAGTTGAGAGCAGTGATCCGTTTCTCCTTCTTTACTGGGAATCAAAGCCTTCCCTTACCAGGGTTGGGCACCTGAGCAGCTCATGCTGTGTTGGGGTTCTTAGAGTAAAACCTGTGTACCCAGTGGTGCCACAGATCCTGAATTCCTGCCTTTTCCTCCCCCTGCAGGGCCTGAAGAAGATATCTGACTACATGAAAAGCAACCGCTTCCTCCCCAAACCAATCTTTGCAAAGATGGCCTTTTGGAACCCAAAATAGGACTACAAAGCCCAGCCCTGGGGGAATATTCATGACCACCCTGCTGGCTCAGGCCCTTGGGCATGGTTCTGTGTCCCCACTGAATGTTCTTTTCCTCTCCTTTCTATTCTCTATTCCTCCATTTCTTCTTACAAGCCCTTCCTTCAGTCAAGCCTCTGAATCCCTGGACTCCCCATTTCTTCCTCAGTCTTCTGCTCCTATACCTTTTTCCTGTCCTGCATCCAGCCATCCCTCATTGCTGCTTGGAGGAATAGACCAGACCCCAGAATCTCCAGTAAGCTCTGAGCGATCAGATCTGCCTCTATGCTCGCCCTGGTCCTCAGAGTGAGCAGCCCTGTCTGATCCCCAGTAAAGTCTGAACGACATTTGTCCTGTGTCTTGTTTTGTTGGCTGTGAATCTCAGGACCAACTGTGTTGGTTTTTTGGGGAGGGGGGTGTCTCTGTTTTGTTTCCTGCAGGAGGGGCTGGAGAAGGAAATGTAGGGACTCTGGGTTATTTAAAGTCCTTGATGTCCCTGTCCATGTCCCTGCGTTCCTCAAGCTGGTATTCCCATGGGAGAGCTCTCCTTCATCTCTCAATTACTCTTCAGAGTGCAGTGCCTCAGTTGTCCATGGGAAGCTTGTGTCATGCTTCAGAGAGATTTTGTGCTGAAGAGAAGGCTGAGCAGGCAGGCCCTAGATGGCCATCTTCTCCCGTCCTCCTCAGCTTTCCTAAGCTGAACACACAACCCTCGTTTGCGTTCTCAACATTTCTCTCCAGCAGCATTCCCCACTGACCGCAGTTGATGTAGGAGTCTTTCCCTCAACTCGAGCCAAAGTGGGTTGGCGGATGGCTCCCTTTCTCCCTCTCCCTCATCCTTCTTTCACTGTTTCTTCAAGATGTATCTATTTTTATTTCATGCGCATGCGTGCTTTGCCAGCATGTGTGTATGAGCACCACATGGGTACCCGGTGCCTGCAGATGCCGGAAGAGGGCATCAGACCCCTGGAGCTGGAATTACAGATGGCATGTGGGTGCTGGGAACAGAACCACTCTAAGAGCAGTGTGCTCTTAACCTGTGACCCATGTCTCCAGCCTCTGGTTGTTGGTGGTTTTGATCCAGGATCTCATGTCACCCACTCTGGCTGGGTCCTCACTTACTATATGCCTGAGATACCTCTTGTTCTCATAATTCTCCTTTTCTGCCTCCTGAATACTGGGATTATAGATGTGTACCACAATGCCATCTTTGGATTGTTCATCTTTGATATGCATGGCCAGGCTTGGCACATGGTCGATGAACGGAAAGTTTGGAATTTGAATCAGGTATCTCCAGAGATGTTTGGCCAGTCCATATAAGCGGTGGCAGGGTTTAGAGCTCTGGAAAGAAACATCTTATCCAGAGTCATTACAGCACCATGTCCCTGCGATGATGCTGGAGTCTGAGCCAGAGGCCCTCTCAGCTGAGCAGGATTAAGAGGCTGCAGTTACCTATGAAAGAGCATGGCTGAGGATGAGCTGGCCTAGTGTGCTGGGCCCCACTGATGAGGCATATGGTCAAGAGCTGTGGGCATTTTGCATCAAGTCACCCATGAAGGACTTGGACACATTGCAGAAGCACCTGCTGAGCAGGGTCCCACGCCAGCGGCTGGATCATAGACTCTGGCTTTTGTCAGGCAGTGCCCGTGACCTCCCTGTACCAGGTAGCACCTCTGGATGAGAGCCCTGATGGGGGTTGCCTTCATACCCACAGCCTGTTCGTGAGACTGGTAAGCTCACGTTATTTCAGTCAACATTTGTTAAATTTTAACTAAAAGACAAAGAAGATAAACTGGAAAGGATGTAATAAGGTCAGGAGTGTCCCTGATAATGTTAAGTAGGGAGGATAAAATGTGGACCAGCACCTAGAACAGAGGTTGGCAAACGTTCCCCATGTGGGGCCGGTACTTAGACCTTGCAGGCCATATTCTCCCCAGGTAACACATGGAACTCTGGGTTATGGAGTCTATGCACACCAAAAGAAGTCCAAATCACTCTTTTCATTCGGAGGGAGACATGGCAGATGAAGAGAATTGTAAATGACAACAATTTTCTGAATATTAAGATCAAAATTAGGAAATTAAAGCCCAGGTAAAATTGCTGTAAGGTATGGCCTTGAAACTCACCAATACAAGCCGATGACTTGCTGGGCATAGGCTTAGTACTTGAGAAGCAGAGGCAGGTGGATCTCCGTAAGTTTGAGGCCAGCCTGGTCTACAAAGCAAGTTCCAGAACAGTCAGAGCTGTTACACAGAGAAACCCTGCCTTGAGAAAAACAAAACAAACAAACAAACAAACAAACAAAAAAGCCGATAACTTGACCTGGCCAGAATCCACCAGAAGTCCTGTGCTTTGGAAAGTTTGGAGCATCACAAGTGAGCACTGTATCTGTTCAGTGTCTGTAGCTCATCCAGGAAAGACTGACACTCCTTGGAGGCCCCCGTTCTTACACAGTTATGCTAAGGCTTCTCACCCCTGTGTGTTAATGGAGAAGGATTCAGCTGAAACAGATGCCAGTCTGTGAAACAGCTCATTTTCCCTATGTAAGTTCCTTGGGAAACATCTAGGAGGCTGTGTGGTCCAGCTCCATGGCATCATTCAGTTGTTAAGCTCTTTCTGACTGTGGCCCTGCTACTTCACAGGATGTTGTGTCATGAGTATCAAGAATTGAAAAGAAAGAAAGAGACAGAGGACCCCCAAGCCCAGCCATCAAGTTCCCATTATGGAATTGAAGCAGGAGGGCACCCGTCATGTGCAAACACTTACCACTGCCCAAACTGAGTATGTGGTTAGAGTTAGGTACAAGATCACCTAGATTAGTACAGACATCACGTCTCTGTGTGAAACTAGTCTAGGGTGTAAGCTGAGGATAGTGACCACCCTCATGAACTTGACTGGGGTGAAGTACTGTGTGTGTGTCACTGTGTAGCTTGGACATGGGCAAAAAAAGAAGATTCATTTGGACACTGGGAAGCCAACTATAGCCACTCAGACTCAGGTGGCCAGAATCTACTACCCAGACTTTCTGAATCATCCAGTGCCCTGAACTGGGGTGAACCAGGTTGGATCTGGGCCAGGACTCTAGGGTTCCTATGAACCCACACCTGTTTCCCTTTTAAACTCATATAGGTACCTACAATCCAGGTCATTCCCCATGCTGGTGCCACTGTCTTTCTAAACCCTAACGGTATCAAGTGAACACTATTATCAGGGCCCACCAACCTCAAGACAGTGTCTGTTCTTCCAGAGTGGACCTTCAGTTCCCAGAGAGTAACATGTGCCCTGAACTCTCCCTGAACTCTCTCTACCTCTGATCATGGCCTGTGCCATGGGCTCTGGTCAAGTGAGTTCACACTATCTGCATTTCTGGATTTGACAGACTCAATCAATGTAAACAAGAATTCCAGGATGAACTGTCACGGAACCCTGGATTATGAACACGATGTAAACGTTTCTGAACCCTGTGTAAGTGTTTCCTGGTTCAACTGAACCAGCAAATTATCCTGAGAGGCAGTTCTGGAACATTATTTGCCTTGTAGTCTAGTATCCTGGTATGTAATGCCTGTCTCAGGGTGGAGAGGACCACTGTTCCTCTCCTTCCATCTTTTAAGTCTCAGTTACTCCTCAGTTTTCTAGAATCTCCTCAAATGCTCATTTCGTTCTTTTGAAATCTTACTGGGCAAAGCCCTTGACCTTTGAGGAACAATTCAGTTCCTTGCTTTTTCAGTCTGTCCGTGGCTGGGTGAGGTCAGGGGTCCACGGCCTCCTGAGTTCAACCCACAGAAGAGAGTTTGCATCTATGGAAGCGCACTCAGGGACAATGGGTTGTTGATATTGTTCTTGCTCATTTCCTGTCTCCAGATTTTAAAGTTAAACTAAATTAATTTTAAAAGACCCTGTAATGTATGTTTCCGTGTTTCTCTGTGTGAGTGCACGCACACATGTACACGGGATGCCCTCAGTGGCCAGATCCCCTGGAGCTGGAGTTGCAGGCGATTCTGAGCCACCCCATGTGGATAATAACCCCATGTGGGAAGCAAACTCTGGTCCTCTGCAAGAGCGGTGGGTGTCTTAACTGCTGAGCTGTCTCTCCAGCCATGTTCTTGTTATTGAGACTCAGTGGCATAGTGTGTTCCACATGATCTTATTGAAAGGCACCAGAAAAAAAGCACCAAGTCACTTCAGAATAGCAGCAGACTCTTTGGGTGAAACTTTAAAAGGCAGGGGATCTGGAAAGATACAAGTTCTGAAACGTAACAAATGAGTGCTGGCATTACAGAGGTACACCACCATGGCAGGCTGGCAGAGCTGTATTCCTATCTGATTTCCCATCACTTCTGTGACATCAACTTCACTGGGAGTCTAATCAATGCTAATGGGTTAACTTGAAGCCTTTACTGTAACCCAAGTCCAGTTTCAGGAAGATGGCTGTTTACCCTGCCCACCTGGGGACACCCCATCTCTGCAAAGACATCCTCTCTGCCAGGGAGCTTGTGAATGAGAATGGGGACAGCTGTGTATTGGCCTCAGGAGAAACAGAAGCCAGAGTACCCGGAGGCTCTCCCAGAAAACTGAAGATGTTACAGATACTAGGGAGTGGCCATTGTTTCCCAGGCACAAAGTACAAGGAAGAGAGATGCTCCTGCTGCTGTGCCTTCCCTGAAAAGACGACCTGAGACCCCTCTGAATCCATGAACTAAAATAATCCTCATGTCTTCAGTGATACGATTCAGTGGACAAAGGCACTTGCTGCCAGCCTGATGACCTGAGATCAATCCCCAGGACTCCTACAAGTTATTCTCTGACTGCTGTGTGTGTCCTGGCACATGCGTGTTCTCCTCCTCCTACAAACAAACAAAAAGCAGATAAAGTCATGCAACGTATTTTTAAACCCTCTCCTCTTGTATGCTGTCTACGTCAGGTGTTTCTGTTACAATGATTAGGAAACTGACTAATACATGTTGTTGGACGCAGACAGTCTTCAGAGACCCCTATCCCATCAGAGCCCCACTGGGAACCACTGACTTCCCAGGCTGTCCTTGGTGCTGGGTCTGAGCGTTACCCAGGTGTCCTTTCTCACGGACTCCATCTTGAACATTCTGTGGAGTGATAGTTTCTTTTTATCGCTCTCATCCTGTTAGAAGGTGGATTTGAATTGTCCTTCAAAGGCTTATGCATTGAACCAAGGCATGGTCCACAGGGTAATAGTGTTCAGATGTGGGGCCTTTGGGAGGTGATCGGAATGTGAATCTGTGACCCATCAATGAAGTAGTATAGTTGTGGAATTAATAAATGGCTATTGAGAGGCAGTGGAAACCCGAGGGGGTCCCTAGTAGGAAGAAGTAGG